TCCAAGGAGCTAGCTTTCGTGATTGAGATAGAGGGTGGACATGCATGAAGGGGTCAGGCCCAAGGAATCTCTCTGGATAAAGTCCTGGGGCCTGACCCCGTTGCCGAAGATCAACTCTTCGGGCTTGAGCCCTGGACGATCACTGCACTTGGTCGAAAAGAGGGATTTTTGCTCGGCCACAAGTGGGATAAAATCCTGAAGGCCCGACCCCTGCGAGCGACATGTTCAGCAATATGACTTTGGATTGCGAACCATCATGAGCCGGATAAAATCCTGCAGCAGCAGCCCCGCAAGTCTTAGGATAGAAAATCTAAGTGACTGAATTTAGAGGCCTGAACCTCCAATTTTATCCTGGTCGTGCGCGACCTTTGTATTGAGCAGCACGAAGCATACACATACAATGCTTTCCTTTTGGGGCCAGCCCAGCCCCGGCAATGATTGATGTTGTGATGTGCTGACCCTGGTTTTCAAACGCACAACCCCGGCCCCATTCCTGTGGATGTCAAGCTCATAGGCTTTTCCAAGGCAATCCTTGATGTTGTGCAGACGTTGAAGCTGTCTGCTCGGCAAACGCAGCAACAAGCTGGGGCAGCTTGTCGAGCTACATCCTTCATCCTCTAAATCCTAAATCACACCTGGCACACTTGAGTTTGAACATCCAGCTCAAAGAGTTGAAGCATGGCTGTTCCTGGTTTTCGGCAACTTCCTCAGCCACCAGGCGGGGGTGGCAAGTCCTTCGTGAAGGATAAATGCGCATTGCTATGCCTCTTGGCGTAAGCAGAAGCCGTGGGCTTGATTGCTTTGGGAGCAAGTCTGAAAGCAAAAGTGCAAGACTTGCTGTAAGGAGGACAGGGTCAAGGCACTCAGGTCAGTCCGGAAAACTGTGGAAAATCCCTTGGCTGGGCTGCGGGGGGCATCCCCTAGCTACGCGAATCCACCCTCCTACAGTATCGCAGAGGTTTCTTGTGGCACTCGCGCTGGGCACGTCCCCTGCTCCTCGGCTTCTGAGACAAAACTGAGGTCTGAACCGTCCAAAGTGGTGGCCAGCAAGACCCTACCAGCTCTTTGCAATATGCTTGCCGTGAAATTAACTGGGAAACCAGCGGCCTCATCGACAATTAGGAAGGCTTCTTTCAACTGGATTCGGCCGGCTTCGGCAAGACGCTCTGGTGCAACAAACTCCAGACTTCCCTTTCTTCCAAACAATAGCTTGCAAGGTCCAACCTTTCGCAAAGTATCGCTTCCAAGGAAACATTCGGCAGCCCAAAAAAGCTGAGAAGATGCATCCTTGCTTGGAGATGTGACCAAGATCCGGCCACCTGTCCTTTGCAAGAGTACAGCTGCAGCCATGCCCAAAGCTGCGGACTTTCCACGGCCACGTTTTCCAAGAACCTTAATTATGTATTGCGGGAGCATCAATTTTATCAAGTCATGTTATGAGTAGTTTCTCAAAGTAGGCTTCATGATTGTCCCTGATTGGTGCCAAAAATTGCCCAAGAACAAGCAAAGGTCTGGACGCCTTGATTCCAAGGATGATCTCAAACAGCTCTCGCTGTTCGCGGTTAGGCGTTAATTCAAGTGTCTGAACTGACCGCTGCTGCCCCTGAGCCAACATGCGCAAGGAATCTGACATGTTTGGTGCAGGTTCACCTTCCTGGCGCCAAACTTGCACGAGGCCAGAGTCGCCTGACTCTATCTGCTCCAGCATTGTGCACCATCTTGACCCGATGCGCTCTTCCCGCCAGCTCTGAAACGATGGTGTTTGCAAAATCAATACCCCACCACCCTTCAAGGCCCCGCAGACCGCTCCGAAGGTATCTAGGAATCTTCGACGGTGTGCTGAGAGTACGGCTGCATCAAGCTCTTGGCCCATCCATGCCCGCTGCGGTGGATCGCGCACGTCTGCTCTGAGAAAGCGTGCGTCACTGTTTAGCTCTTTCCACGATGTAAGAACTTGGCTGGTCATCCTTTGCGCCCATTTCGGATCTCCAGCAAGTAGCAAGAGTCGGCGCGGAGCATGCGATGCCATACCGAGGGATCCGGAGCAAGATTTTTGCTGGTGGAGGGCCTGCTTCACAATAACGGTGATATCATGAGGGACTTGAACAGAAGGCCAGCTCGAGCCAAGACCATGAGCCATTGGAATGATTATTAATGCGTATTGGAAGCTGCCACGCAGCGCGTGATGCGCGTGCAAACTCTATAGTAAAGCGGCTGCGAAGGCCCTGCAGCATGTTTGGGGCCGCACTCCACCGACACCAATGGCGGAACTCGACACCACCAGCTTGAGCTGCCTGAAGCGTGGGATCCGTCACAAAGACACTGAGGCTGGCGAAGGTCCTTGCCTGGCGCTTCTCGGTATGGCTGCCACAAGTAGTCGGACACCGACAGCCTCAGGATGCTGAGGTTGCAATCTTCGAAATGGTTCAACTCAACGATCCAAGATAATGCAAGTCAGAAGCGGTGAAGCGCCAGTCTCGAAGGCAAAGAGTGACACGTTCCAGGCCTGAAAACCGCCGTACACTCAGGCACATCTAGTTGCCCGCCTTACAAGCCTTTGGGCAAGTTGGTCGCTAGTGCGCTTGCTCCATCATCACCAATATCACGACAGCAAAGGTCCAGACCTTGCCAAACACAATGCAGGAAACTTACAGGGACAGTCCAAGGCGCCAACGAGGGTCGTGATGAGGCACGCACGTAGGTCACATAGTGAGTGCGGCAGGGCACCCACAAGAGTCCTCGCACAAAGGCAGATGACCAGCATGCGAAGCTGCCAACCGTTTCCTGAGATCTTTCAGGCTCATGTTGAAGTCACCGAGCCGCAGCTGAAGCACGCTTAAGCCACCAAGAGCCGCTGCCAAAGCCTAGCCCAACACGAGGGATTTCATGAGACCAGATCAAGCGAAACGCAAAGAACCTGTGCCAGCGAGGTGTTGGCATTGGGGGCCTGCAGACCGAGTTGAGCACAGTCATGTTTACCTGCCTCAGTACTCTTGGGTCCACACTGTGACCTGTAGGTCTAATGCGAGCTGCTGCAAGCTGGTGGGCAGAGCCTCCCCAGACAGATCTTGGGATGTCTTGTCTTCCCTTCTTCCAAAACTCACTCAAGTGCCTTGCACAGCGCGGTGGCGCCCTGGGAAGAGGACTCCAGCATTAGGTGCAGCTTCTCTAGCCCGGCAGGCAACGCGGAGGCGAGCTCCTGCAAATGCCAAAAAATCTCGCCCAAAACTTATCGAAGCTTCACGTCTCAAATTTTGATTCCGAGCGATCTCCTCGGTGCCTGCATCCTCGGTGCCGGTCCCCAGCCAGGCCTCGGCACTTGGAGCCAAAATCGGAGCTCACCCTCTCGGCCCTCGGCTCATCTGTCCGGTTTCGTCAAGGTCTGGGCGAAGGAGCGGCCGTGGAAAAGGAGACGAAGTTCCCGCAAGCTTGGCACACGAGCTCACATGCGGATTCGTCAAGACACACAACTACTCTACACTTCCAACTTCCGTGGCGGACCCGGTGACTCTGGCGATCACTCTTGCCACAGCATGCGCATCTCTGCAGCTGAAGGAGTTCAAGTCCTGAGCGTGCACAGAGTCCCAGAATGAACATTGGCTGGTTTCAGGTGCAGGGCACTATGAGGCACTGTGGGCCTGGCAAGGCCCAGCCGCGTTAAATGCTTTGGCGTTGCACTCACCAGCTCAGCGAGGACAGAATCGTCAGCTAGCAAACACCTTGGAGCCCATGTCAATGTGACGTGAATTGTGCAAAGGCTTTGCAGACGAGACAGAAACAACAAGGTCTGAGCGGAGGACCCTCCACGCAAATTCGCATGGAAGGAGTCCAAACACCACCTCAAGCTTCACATCTGCTGACTTCAGCCAGCAAAAGCATGTACTGAGCAAGCTACGGCAAGGCTGCTGACAATGCACTGGCCAAGCCTGCCATACACTCTGCTTGCGGGATGCCATATGCAAGAATTGCCGGCGCATTGAAAAGAACACAGACGACTGGGCATCCTGGAGAGGCACGGAGGTCGGGCAAATGAATGATGAATGGTTGGATCTCAATGGCAAAGGGTGGAATGAAAAGTTGCCGAGACAACATCTTGAGACTGATGTGGGCAGACTAGCACCGAGGCACCGAGGCTGAGTGTGAATTCTTCGCCTTTAGAGATGTGAGCACATGTGAGCACTGTGATTGCAATGCCTCAGGAGGACCAAAACACGCTAACCTACTTTTTTGTCGTTTTTGATCACCCTGGTGGCGGCTGCAATGGGAGAGCACGATTTGTCGCCTCCTCGAACTGCTGTCTCAAATCTTACTCCGACAATTGGCTGAGTGGATTCAGAGGGGCTCAGGTCGCGCCTGGCCAAGGCTTTGCAACGGCCAGACAGGACAGCTTTCAAGGCTGAGTAGCGTACTGCGGTCTGGGTTTTGCCTTCTTGACGGAAGAAGACCATGACAGAAGAGCATATCTGAGCACCTTTGTCTTCCCATCATGTCCAGGAAACGATTAGCTTCAGAGGGTTCTCACATGTCGCGCGGCTGCAAGTTTGTCCTCCAGAATTTCAAGAAGCCCTTGTCCTTCTTAGACTTGAAAACTAGAACGCTCCAATCAGGCCAAGCCTTCTCCTTGCAGGATTTTCCTGCAGTTTGCGGAGTGGAAGGCGGCCTCTGTCTTCAGGGGCCACCTAGCCGAGGACCTAGCCCCCCTCCCCCCGCGCAACCACAAAATCATTGAGAGCTAATTGCAGGTACGGCTTATCTCCACAGAGCCAGCTTTCGTGAAAATGCCGATTCACAAGCCCACGAAAAAGGGTGCGAGCAAAAGGCGGAGGAAGTATAGATTTACACACCAGCGAAGGAAAGGTGACTCGTTGAAAAGAAAACGGACGGCAGGCAAAGCAGTCAAGTTTGCGTGATGCGCATGCGGAAGGCTGAACCTTGACCGCGCAAAGCATGTAGCCGGAGAAGAGATGAAAAAGAGTTGGAACAGGAGCTTGAGGCGCCCTTGCAGCGTCCCTTTGCGTCTTGGAGCTACCCTGTCTGAATCTGGTTTGATGCGTAGGCAGCGTGTTTGATCTGGTGCTCAGGCGAGGCAGCTTACCTTACGGACAAGAAAAGTACAATCGTGATCGTGAAGAAGCAGGTGCTATGCCTGCCATGCATGCCAAAGAGCTCAGGAACAGTTTCAGGGGCCAGCCACCAAAGCATGACTTCCATGAGCACTATGCAAGACGTTGATGCCATGTGAAGCCTGACACAGCTTGCGTGCGATCTTCACGGCTTTCTCCACTTACCTCACAACACGACATCTGGTGACCTTTCAGAAAGAAACTAGAGGCACATGCCCTAGGAAGCCGCGGCGGAGCAATGTGCACGGACACTTCCTGTCAGGTAGGCAGGTACTTGCTCATGATCCCGTGTGATTGCTGTTCTCAGCGCTACATCTGTGCCTCTGGCCTTCAGTGCTCTCAGCTGCTCTCGCATCCCAGCCAGCATCTTCAGCGTCTGCTCACCTTCAGCGCCTGAAGCCAGACCTTCGTGATTTCCAACCAGCAGCATGCGGCATATCGACCAATGCGCGTCTACCGTATGCAGGCAATTTGGCTTTAGGCTGTATTCTTTTGGTTTAACATTGCTTTTAAGATTTTTCCAGGATTATGAGGAATGGGGGGCAAACTAAGGGGACACCCCCGATGGGCGGACCCCCAGAGCACCCTTGACGAACCTTGTCAAGCAAGCAGAACCCTTGACGAACCTTGACGAAGGAAAAGGGGGGTCTGACGAAGGAGCGGGGCCTTAGACGAACTTTGTCAAAGGTTCATGGGTGGACAACCTCACCCTTGACGAACCTTGTCAGGCAAGCAGAAACTTTGGCGAACCTTGACGAAGGAAAAAGGGGTTTGACGAAGGCGGGGGCGCCTTAGACGAACCTTGTCAAAGGCTCATGGGGTGGTCTACCTTTGCGCCGCCCCCCCTCATTTGCCCCGGAAGGAACACCAACCCCATGAGGCCCTTCTGCAAGCTTTCGCGCGTGGGATTTGACTTCCACTGCGCCTGCGTTTACAGTTTACAGCATGCTTCCGCAGATGATTTCTTCGTAGCAAACTTAAGAGGAATGCTGTCACAAATGGAGTATAGAGACCTTCAAAATGCGCCGACACAGGAACTGCTGATGTTCGCGGGTTACTGAACAGCACTTTCGCGGAGGTTCCGCAAGCTACTTCTTGTAAGAAAGCTTCCGCAGCTTCCGCGCACACTTTTGCTCACAGTCGAGCCTGAAAGCCCAGCATTCTTGCCGAAGTTTCAACATACTACGATAGCGCTTGAAAACTTGTGGCTCAGTTGGAAAGGCAGTGGAATTTGCGTTGAAAGTGATCCCCGCAGCAGACCTGGTAGCCTTTCCTGCCGCTTGTCTGTCCTGGCGACCCCACTAGCTCATTTTCCAAAAAGGCTACCCCGCGTGTGGTTCTGCGCCCAGCTTCCTGCAAGGTTTTCCTCATACGGGAAGCCGCTTGCAGGTTCGTGAGTGCGCACATGTCTGTAGCTTCGGATCCTCTGCTTGGTCTGTAGGCCTTGCGCATGCCAACCACGAATAGACAAGCCCACCGATGATTCATCTCGGGCAGCCACATGCGCCACCTATCTTACAGCAGCTAGCAGCTAGTGACAACTGGGGAGCACGCTGGGAAGACTTAACTTGACAAGCAAGTGCGGTGAGATCCTGACATCTGCATCGTTCAAACAATGCAGGTCAGTCAGGAACCAATCGGAGCACGAGCACGCTTCCTGGCAAGCTGATCCGCAGCGCTCGCGCGCAAAAGCGTCACAGAGCCAGCAAGCAAGCGGCCCTGACCATCGTGCGCGCCTGACACGCCACACTCTTTGCAAATCTGATCTGCACAAGTGGAACATTAAGTCATGTCGGGTTGGCAGGCGAGGGTTGCTACACAGCACGGTACCACGGTCAGGGCCTACGAGGCCATGAGCATCTTCACCGGTTTTTACGTTTCATGCGCCGGACCTCATGGCCGCTGCAGAAGCTCAGCACTTTCAACCACACCTCGGAAGGCTTCAAGGATCTTCAGGACTGCTGATGTGCACCGACTAAGGTCGGAACCGACCCCGTTGCGAGAAGGGTCGGAATTGTTGCCTGTAAAGAAACTGAAACGTGCAGTAGCCTCGCATAGCCTCGCTATCCTCGTTGGTCTCTGGCCTGAGAGCAAGAACCGTCGGCCGGATCTGCCTGTAAGTCTCGTGGCCCATCCTGCAACGAATCCGCGCTCAACGTTGTACACGTGCTTGGCTGTTGCGGCTGTTGCTAGCCTTGTCGACTTCAAAGTGAACATTTTGTCCTGAAAATGCGAACCAAAACTTGCCGAGGCCCAGATATGACTTTCAAGGTGCCTGGGACGTCTTGGTTTCTGCTGGCCTCCAAGCCAAGTGCATACGAATCTCAGGAAGGTTCGACAGCCTCTAACTGGCCTGAGGCCATCTGCAAAGAACGCGCCAGGCTGTCCGAAAGCAACCCCTGAGTCAGGGAGCCACGTTCACAATCCTCCACATGTGCATGTAAAAAAGGCTTCAACGAAGTTAGCAACTGCAATCAGTGCAAGCGAGCGGCTCCGTGAGATTGGCCCAGGAAGGCTTGGCAGGAGTTTGGTGAAACGGATTAGTCACACGGGCACTCTGCCCGCGTGCGCTTTGACATGAAGCAACAGCAGAAGTGGGTCGTTCCAACGGTTGCTCCAGAAGCTGATTCGACAATGTGGCTGAGTCATCAACCACCTTGGCTAAGGCAGGATGTGATGAGCCGTCTGCTCTGAGAAGCTCGCCGTGAAGCTGGGTGCTCCGCGCTGCAGGGTGAAGTCTGTGTGACGGGCCTGAGCTGCTGATCTTTGAGCCTGCGTCATGCAACTTTAGGGTTGTGCTCAGGCAAAAACGCCGCCCAGCTGGCTGAAGATGTCAAGGCCTGCAACATTCAACAGGCCAAACGGCGTTAGGTCAATAATGTAGAGCTCGAACATGTTCTTCAGTCCCTCTTAGCTATCTTAGCCCTTGCCCCCAGAAATGCAGATTGGCTTCATCAAGAGGCCAGGTATCCAATATTCGTCCGGCTTGTTGTCTTGCACTGCAAGTCCGATTGGCACACATCATTCTGTGGCTAGTCTACAGTTTCTTATTCTTGCCAAGTGCCCTCCGTCACGTGAACCATGTTCATCCATGTCACATGACCCAGACTAAGCAAAGTGTGAGGCAGCCTCTAGATCCTGACATAACGGCAGGCTGCCCAAAAGCACGGAATCTCTGGTCCCCTCACCTCAGAAAACCTTCGCCGACGACTCGGATCCGGCCCTTGCATCTGAAACAGCGGTACAAGCGGCTGCGCAAATCAGATCAACAGGTCAAGCCATGCCAGTGCTGCCGTGGCCATCTTGTAGTTCACCCTCTGCTGCGCTAGCACTCATTAGGGTAACAGAAGACGGCAACCTAGTAAGTCTAGATAGGACAGACCCTGAGAATGAAGCAGGGTGGCTAGGGCAAGCTTTTGTACACAAGTTTGAACTTGATCTTGCTCGCGTGCTTCTTGAGCCACTGATTCTGCCAAAGCATCAAAAACATCTTGGCAAAAAAGAGGTGCACAAAATCCTGCAACTTCTCTGCGCCCCTGCTCACAAGCACATCTTTTCAAAGCATGCCACGTTGATCCCTCTTTGGAAATCCAACGCGTTTCTGCCCGGTGAAACCCGCAAAAAGGAAGGGAAGCAGCTTCAGCACAAGTACATGCTTTGATTGCAAAGGTGCAATCTAACCTTATCTGCATCCGGGAAGCAGACTTCCCAGCACTCTGAATCTGCAAGAAGGTGCCGTCACATCTTGGAAGGACACGGCGGCTTCCTAGTCATGTGGAATCCCGCCTGAAATGAGCGAATTGAGGACTCAGCCAATGCGTGCACGTGGTCAGTTTCAAAAGAGAGCTGTCTCTCAAAGTTGAGGGTGAAATGCACCAGAATCGGTCTCTGCCGATTTCGCAGTAGACTTCAGTCTGGCCTGAGAAGGAACTTCCAAGCTTCAATTCGGACAAGAAACATCTTAAAGACCGGGCATCCGGCGTCCGGACATATTGCAAAAAGGCTACGTGTACCAGTACTGCAGCTGTTAATGTTCAGGCAAGCAAACAGAAACGAGAGATTCTGCGCAATGCCAGCCGTCCTCCTCCTCATCCGCGTCATGTACAAGCGGAGGAGGCTGCGCTGTGGCCATCATGGCCTTGAGTGGAGCTGGCACAGCTACAGCAAAACCACAATTCAGCCAACACGATGCGTTCCCACGCATGCCTGCTCTTATCTGCTTGTATTGCCGTATAGCAGCAATCATTCTGTTTCTGAGGCACCAGCACTGGCACGGGTCTCGTGATCATCCTCCTCTCCGCCGAGATTGAGGTGCCTGCAGAAGTGTGATTTGCCGGGATGTTGAGGTTTGCTGCAACAATCTCCCTTCTGCAGCAAGCTCAACACCGCTCGAAGCCTGTGCACCATGACCTGCTGCTGCATGGCAAGCATCCGCACCTGTGCTCGCAAACCGAGCCAGCAAAGACCTCGAAGGAACTCGACTCCCCAGCCATAGCCTCATAGGGAACAGCGGGAAACAGTGTCGACATAAGTATCCTGGCATATCGGGCGAGCAAAGCGCTGACATTCGCATTGCAAGTCCGCATGCTGGCCCGCAAGCATCCTGCCTGAATCCGATCATGCAATGCTCCACAACCAGGAACAGCAGAATCTTGTGGTGGTGACTCCTGTCTTCAAAGCAGTGCACGGGACAAAACCCATTTAAAGGAATCATCACGCGCAGCGCTCCAGTTCGCAAATACGTTCGAAGCAAAAACGACAACTGCAGTGTTGGTGGCCATTGCAATCCTTGAGGAAGCGTGTTGACATGAACAAAGTGCAGAACTTTGATTCCATCCATAATATAGAGAGAGCATGGATTCGCAACCTGGGGTCGAGGCATACCAAACACGTCGAAAGCGGTATCCCAAGGCTCGTTGTTGGAGGCTGGGGATGGGAAAGGCCTGCACCGCTGCTTGAGGGTTGCTGTGGTGAAGACGCTGCCGCAAAGATGGCGTTTGAGGCCTACGGAACAAAAGCACGAGCTTCTTCTGATCCATGAAGCACCTGACAAACGGCAGCCAAGCATCGCGCAGCACATGTACGAATTTCTGATTAGCTGGCAGCATAACTCCTGGAGAAACGTCATCAAACAATGTTTGGCTTCACCCAGCTTCATAGCGCCACAAGCCAAGCCCAATGAGTTAATAACAAAATACAAAATTGGATCAACCATTCCAGAAGCCCTCTAAGACCAAGACCAGCCGCTGATCTTCCAATGATTTCTCAGAAAATTCTGTATCCGAATGAGAAAGTTACTGTATCGCTCCGGCTTCAACGTATGCAAGCCCGATTGATGTCTAAAGCCACACGGCCTAGAATAAGACAAATTAGGTGAATGGCACATGCTGGGCATAAGCTGCCATGCCATGCCAATGAATGCCTCTTGACTTTCCTGCTGTCTGTTCACGAGGGGCAACTTGTGGCGTAAGTGCATGTGCTTCACATAAAGCTCTTGGAGCCTTTGCTAAGTTTTTCGATTCAGAGGGCATGCCACCAGCTGTGCCAAGGGGACTTTTGAATCGAATTGCTCTTCTACACCATGTCGGCATCATCAAAATCACGGAGACTCAAACTGCGCATTTGAAACTGGTCATTCAGGATAAAAGAGCATCCGGAACTCCTCGCAAAGCCAGACATACTTGTGCAGCTTCCACAACGTCAATGGAAAAAAGTGGAATCCATCCCGTGTATGGCACCAACGTCTGATGTGCAAAGGGACTATGAAATGCTACTAGTATGCTGCAAAACATCAATATAAACTCATGTAATCCATAGACACCGGCAGAAGCATTGTTTGCTAGGTCTGGCTGTAAGGCCCTGGACCAGGCCTGGAAAAACAGCAATCGACAAGCCCTTCTGCAGGATAAACAAAAAATATGAGTCCAACTGTAAGGTCTTGCGCAACGAGTTCGGTGTGGACGTTCCACGCCAGAGCTAAGTTTCCAAAAAAACGTGTGAGGATGCTGCGTGCAAGAGCTTAATTTGAAACCAAAATGTGAAGAAACACCATGCAAGAGCACAATCTTGAGCCAAGATGTGAAAGCTCAGTTTCCAGGACAAATGGGAGGACGCTCTTTCCGAGAGCTCGATTTCATGTCAAAATGCTCCACGCAAGAGAATGTGAGGACGTTCCATCCGAGAGCTCGAAGAAGCCGGATTTGAAGAAGCGTTGCAAAAGATGGTCGAACATGAACACTTGTAGCTTCTTGCCAAATTATTGAACCGACTTGCTTAGCCCTGTGTTTGGATTTGGCAAGTAGCAGGCCTGAGAACATGTGGCTTCTTGGTAAACCGATTTGCTAGCACTTACGTTTGCTTCTTGGAGTAGGTTGGGGGCGCGGCAGCACAAGGATGAGAACATGTCTTGTTGTCAGGTTTCTTTATATTCCTAGTATTTGGCAGGCATCTGCGTCTGGTTTTTAAACACTGAGGAGGTTGGGGGTCCACCCCAAAGGCAAAGCACGAACAAAGATGACAACATCTGGCCTCTTGCTCGCAGTAAATACTATATGCATTTTAGTTTGCTTCTTCAAATCGTGGGGGGTTGGGGAGCAGAGTCCCCCAGTGGCCAAACATGGACCAGGATCAGAACACGCAGCTTCTTGCTAGGTTTTTGATGGCACCTGCAAGGCGTTTACATTTGCTTGCAAGGAATGTGGGATGGTTGGGAGCGCAGCTCCAACACTTTGTAAAGACATAGACGAACATGAAAACATGCAGCTTCCGCTCAGCCAGACCTCTACTGACCATGGCCACTCAACTGCAATATCTTACAGGACTGGGGTCAGATCAAGGACCCACACAGCTTGAATCACGCCACCAGATACCTAGTGTAGCAAGTGACAGACTTGCATGCCAGTTGTTCAGTCACTGACTTCTACGTCAGACTGCACAAATGCCTGCACAGACTACGGCTGAGGATCAAGCTCCAGGACAAGACTGATCATGGTAATGAGCGGAATCTGACAGGTCTTCTGCTGGCAAGCACTTGCATGTCTGCAGCATGGACTCACGCCATCTTCTGTCATCTTCTGTCACCATCTCTGAACTAATTCGGCGCACCCAAGGACACGCGACTACGAAGAGCACTGTGTAGCCATACAGGATCAGCACCTGCAGCAACTTGTCATGACAAATATGATGCAAACCATGTCTCATGCCTCGTCCATGTCCTGGTACACGTCATAGTCCTGGTAAGAAGCTGACAACTTTACGCAATCTGGTGCTCAGTTACAGAGTCCACCTCTTGGCAACCAGTGAGTGAACCAAACACACCAGAATCAAGGAACCTCCTTCTTGCTCTGCTTCTCCGGGCTCGACAGATCTGGCCTACATAAACATGCAGTATCATACGAGATGTCTGCCAGAATCAGCACCAGCTCATCCAGAAACTCAAAACTAAGGATCACACATTATGGTCATCGGGTTCCTGGACTGTGACGAATGGATGCGCGCGACTTCAAAAGATGACGCGAGCCAAGCAGCGTAAACAGGGAAGTCTTGAATGTATTTCCTGCCCATGAATCTCACAGGGTCCAGGATACCAACGACCGCATGCTGCGCATTCTGCACGTGCAGGGCGCATCATCTGGCCTTCTGTGTACTCCCTGTAGTACATGACTGCATACCTCAGTGAGGCGCCAGTTGACTGTGCCAAGCCAAGTCAGCTCTTCCAGTGAAAAACCGAGGACCTTACGGAGCTCCGAGTTCAATCATGTTCTGCACGGTCAGCCTGCGAAAGCCAACAAGCAGACCAATATCAAGAGAGTGGACACAGCATTAAGCCATTACGACAGCCTCATGATCATGAAGATTGCAAGCTGGGAGCCCAAGTCGTTGAGACCTAAATAAGCTTCCAAACAGTGCCAAAGCAAACAAAACGGAAAATATGTTCATGGTAGCTCTTTGCCTGGGCCAACTCACTCGACCTCTCGCTTTTGCGCGCATGCTCGCTGCAAGCTATGTTCGCTGTCGCTCATCGCACGCTCATCTGAACTGAAAGAGGTGTCGCAATGAATCTATGTAGTCAGCATCAGTCAGCAGGCCAGACAACACGTAGAACGTTTTAGCGCACTTGGCGTGCTTGGGCGATTCTTGCGGGTTTGCATCCAGCTGGTTGCGCGCGAGTGTTGGACATCATCTGCCGAGCCAGCGCTTTGTCTCGTCTCGTCTTCGTTTCGGCGTGAGATGAGGCATGAGGTCGGACTTTTAAGCTGCACGCAGGTCACGGCCTCTGCCACTTGTGCTTCTTGTCGTTTGCCCAGCTGATGGCAAGCAGCGGATTTCAACATGCGCCGCAACACCTTCAGGTGCCAGCGAAGCTATTGAGCTCTACTTTGAAGTGATTTGCGCAGTGAAGCAAGGGGAAAGAGGTTCTGCTCATCGCTTCTGCCAAGTGAAGGCCGCAAAACGGATATCTGCATGCAGGCACCCTATGCTCAGCAACAGACGAGGTAGGAGATTTTTACAGTTGCGCTTCTTGATCCGACCTCTCTATTCAGGCGATGTCTTTTACTCAAAGATTTATGTCCGCTTTAGTCAGAGTGGTCTCTTGCTCTTTATGTCTATGTCTGGTGTTGCTTTTGTCTTTTGATGCTCTGCCCCCTACGTAGCTGAAATGATGTGTGATCCTCCGTGGCTGCTGGCCGCTGTAAGAACTTGATCTTCACGCACTTCCCTTTGCATTACCGTGATGGGAAACTAAGGACCATGCAGTCATCGTTGACGCAAGTCATCGGCATTCCGAAAAGATATGAATGAGCCTGGCTGTTGTGCTGTACATTACAGCAACTGTAACTGGCATGCTGGTGAACCCGTCCTTCAAAAAGGCAATATAGTACAGCGACACATAGCAGTTGATGAACTTGAAGACCACCATCTTCGCCTACAGCACATGCCACAGATGTCCACACTGCAGTGCTTCGCGAGAACCAGACATTCCCTAAGCGTGGAGCCAAGAGATGATTCGCATGCTCTGAATAGGATCGGTGGTTCTCCCGGTCCTGTAAGACACAAGGCAACAAGCACATGCGAATCACATGCACTTGCAATGGTAAGCACCCAAAACCTCAAAACCCAAAAGCACTTCGCAAACTGCCTGCACACGTGCGGGAAGGCAGACCTTAATCCTTCATGATAGATATGATGCACTTCCTGTATGAAGTTCCTTGTTGACGAATGCACTACTGTAAAACGGCATGGAAGCATCAACAGCAAGTACTTCATGAAGCGTCCCTCGCGACATCCTGGTGGATTGGATTACCCTGAGCTTCGCTGGGCACAGCTGGGTAATCGCCTGTGGCATATCGTGCACCAGTCATGATCCCTTCCACCAACAGGGTTTGCAGCTCAGACAGACACACAACCTGACCAAACCGAACCCAATGCCGCAACGCAGGGGCACCTTTGTGGAAGCTTTTTCTCGATTAAAGTAACTCACATCAAGCATCGCCGCGTGAACCCTGACATACGCTTCCACATAAGCTTCTAGACACAAGTGTAGGATGCCGGAGCATCCACTTGTGCAAACACCAGTTTGCATGTGGTGCTACGGCAAAAAAACCTGCAGTAGGAGTTGAGCAATGCTTGCTGGCAACTGTTCCAGGGTATGTATGGACAAAAAAAACCGTCGTAATACGTTTCATGAGCTTGCATGCAGTGCAGCAAGGGCCAATCAACTTAAACTCACAGGTAGAGCGGAGGTTTCCAGTGATTTCAGGCTCAGCCATGCTTGTTCATCGCGCGGACAATACGTGAAAAAAAGCCTGCGCTGATGCTGTTTTTTTTTGTGGGGCACTTGAGCTCTGCGAGTTCCCCTTGACAGCGGCCTGTTGGTTTCGATCATTTAAATTCGCTACTCGAGCATTGTCCTAGTCGGCTAAATCAGTACTCATCCCAAGCCCATTTGATACTCTGAGGCATTTTGCGATCCCCAAACAGTTCTATGGGGATCTTTTTGCGTGAGTGTGCCGTTAGGTCAGATGAGGGTGGGTGCGGACTTGGATGGGTTGTGACCGTGGTTGCAGCATTTGAACTTTGAGTGGGGTTGGGAGATTCGGTCCAGTGGTGACATTCCAGGATTCCCTGCACCGCACTTTTGCACATGCGGTCCAATGGCCTCGTTTGTTTCGCGTGAAGAAAGCTCTAACCAGCACTTCCTTTGCGTAATCAAGCAAGGACAACGCCCGTTGTACCCCTTGTCAATTGATGTGAAAACCTCTGATACCAGCACATCCAGCTCCCTTCATATGCGTGGAGACTCCGCAGTATGTATCAGAGCTTCCTTTGGAGCAGTCTGCTTAGCGCCTGCTCCAAGCAAGCAATCCTTTGGGGACGTCTATAGTGCGTGCTTGTCGGCAGTGTGTTCATGACAGGCCTGCAGTAAGGCTTCTGGGATTGGAAGTGAAGCAGGGTGGCTTGTGGTGTGATTCTCCTCGGCATGGGCCAACAAAATCGAGCCTGCTAGCCGCCCTCCGCTTCACACAAAGAAGGAATTGTTGACGCAAGGCCACCGTGGAGTCGGAGACGTCGACAGTCTTATTTGTTTTGAGCTTCTTGCCTGGCTGGCTGATTGCTGGATTCCAACAGGATCCTGGTTTCTTTGCGCCTGGTGGAACGCGTGAAGAGCGGGGGCCCTCCAGCTTGTCTGAGTTGATGGCCCGTCTCGGTTCACCACATTGACATCACCTTCATGTCCATGTGTTTCTACCCTTCGCCTAGAGCGAATTCCTGAGCTCACCTGACCAGGACATTATCTTGCAGCCGCAGTTGCGACCTCGTTTCCTTGCGCTGCCGCTTTACTCACAACAGAACCAACTTGGCTCCCAAAGCTGCGCCTTCTCTGAGTGGCATCGAAGTCTTGGTTTACAACTCTGCGCTCACAACCCTGACCTTTTTTTTATCAACCCCAAGCTAGCTGTCGAAGATGCAAACATGCATCATGCTCAAGAAGGTGCATACCTCCTTTGAGCACCGCTGATATGAGAGCTTGAAGTTGAAGATGTAGTGCAGCGCTGCGTCTTGTAAGGCTCATGCTAGCGGACCGCCAGAACCTCTGTGGCCCCGCCCTTTAGCCGCCCAGGTTGGAATTGGTCACTTTGAAATTGGTCACTTTGCAAGAAAGTTCAAGAAGCTCTTCCCTTCGCGACCCTCACCGAGGTACTACGCTCGCGAGGCTGTCGGCTCAAATCTGATGTAGGTTTTGCTTAACGGCATGTTGGCCACGGTATTCCTGCTACCTGCCCGTGTTTCTGCAATCCTTGCGAGAGTGTTAGACCCTCACTTTGATGTTCGCAGTGCAAGGGTTTTAGCCCGGATGACAATTGCTATGGCTCGCTTCCTGGCTACCACATCATACTCAGGCACGTGTTGTTCCTTGTTGTGAAGCAATATGCGGGGTAATTGGTTTTCACGCGCACGCTGCAGTGTGTATGGACTATTGGAATGGTTTTGAAAGCGGGCTGCGTCGGTGGTCTCCACCCGCACACCTGGCAAATCGTCACTCCCATTTTTCACTGGATTGCTCAGCCCGGTCCCGAGTCCAGGGGCCTCTGCTTCTACATACCGAAGCATTAGTTCAAATCCCGCAGGCTGGCATGAGGGTTCTCACCATGACGATGGTAACGAGCGGATCAGCAATGGCCCTGTGCTTTTATATACACAGTAGAGAAACCGGTGATTGATGCCATGTGGCTGGAGTGCCTGTAGGGCCCCACGGGCCACCTCAGATCACTATGCTTCTGGCGACTGGCTGATGTGCTTGGTGACCCTTTTCATGGGGGGGTGATGTTTTTCGGCTCGATGCTTTGGCAGTTGACTGGTTACTCTCTCCGCCCAAAGACAACCTGATGGTCTTTACGCGCCGCTGCTCTTCCTTGAAGTACGTGGCGAAGTACGCAGCGGCTGTTCGCTACTATCCCTTTCAAGCTTCGGTCAGAAGGATGTATAACTGGTTGTGGAACTGAGACAAAGCTGGACACAGGCGGACAAGGTGAGCGCTTCACACCAGAAACACATTCTTAATGACAGAGATGGAGCAGAAACAAGAAAACTTCGAACCCCAAAGACCCACTGCAGGGTGGCGCTTTTCCTCTCCGAGCTGTGAGGTGTTGAGCACTGGGATCGCGTCTTGTTCTGCAAACCTTGTACTGTTCTGATGGGTCAGGATTGGAGATGATAGCGGCTTCCGCTTATCCACTAGGCGCTTGCGGTCTCCAACCCCCATCAGTGAGTAAGAACGAAAAAGCTGTCTGGGGATGCCTTGGCTTGTACAAGGCATGCAGGCCGCTCCCTGCAATTGTGGTGATTGCGTGACGCCCGCCGTAGCGCTTGAATGAAACAAACGTCGATGCTGGCGCGGAGACGGGGCACAGAGCATGACGCATGCGGGCGGGGTGTCAAGCAAATTGCGCATGTATAAACATGCAGCAAGACTCAGGGCAGAGATATTCCAGCTGATTCCATTGTGGCCAGGAGCACTTCAGCAAAATCAGAATAGCCCTAGTACCCATTAGCAGCAGCGTGGGGAGCTATCCAACACGCAAAACAAAGCTGTTGAATGGAAGGTGGTCGGGAGTCAGTATGAGAAAAATGTAGACTAACCATACCATCAGAGCAGGCCTCATGGGACGCATGCACCACCAATAATAGCACCAATACGTCCAAGACTAACACGAATAGATTTGCTTTGCTTGTGCGGCGCATGGGTGCCAATTAATTTCGAGGAAATTGCCGATGCTGTTGTAAGAGTTTGCCGTTATTGATGCTCTTTTGAAAGTTTCCTGGGTGATCCGGATCATAGCATGGTCTCCATCTTGAATTCATGCACTTCTGAGGCGTGTCGTGCCCTGCATCAAGATTGTTAGGGTTCCAAGCCTCTTGCAAATGCTTCCTACCCAAGAGCTTTGATATTGTCGTAAACTCTGGCTGAAGTTCCGGATTGTTCGAAAAGGCTCGGGCAAAAGTCATGTATGTTTCCGGGAGTGCCATGAATGTCAGCAGAAACAAGCCGCGGGTCCGTCAGCCAGTTTGCGAGCATTGTGAAGAGCGTGTTCAGCAACTCCACAATCAGTGCATTGATGACCTCTCCAGTACACATTTCGTTCCGAGGTGAACGCAGCTGAGAATCCCGCCTGAAAGGTAATCCGCCCGCCATTCTTGTGGAAAATGTGGCGGAGCACCATGAGAATGCCCACCACGAAAAAAAGCGCGATGAGAGATACCTGTAGTCTTTGGAAATCTTCATACTACTTTGTGAGCTCTCCACGTGCTTCATATCAGTTCAGTTCAGTCAGTCATACGCCGGGCGGCGCGTGGACGGGCAAGAGCTGACCAATCGTGCGGTGCCAGACAACAGGATTTTGTACAAGTCTGGTGATTTCACAGTGGCCGCCCAAAAAGTGAAAAGCCTTGTTCCTAGTTTCCGTGATCCACTCACGTCACGGTCTCCCTACTCTTCTCACGTACGCATGGGTGATAGGCTGCAAGGTTCCGGGG